CGAAAGTCAAGTTGAACATAAAAACGGCCGACAATCATCTTCTTTTTACAAGTGGTACGCTTGTAGTTTGTTCAGGAGCAGTGGTGGATCTCCCTCGCCAAATGCCTCTTATATCGTTCCAAATGTTGTTGACCTTGCAAAATTTCATTCTCTTGTTGTTCCGCAGCCTCCTCTGTATTAGACCCCCTCTTAAACACCTTTTAGGAACCAAAGAACAAAATCAGTTAGAAAGTTATTATGACATTATATATTTTGTAGATTTTTTTTAAGTTTATATTTGGATTAAAATTAAGTAATATGACAATATATCGGTTAAATATTGTAGATAACCAACAATATAGGTTTTCTAGAAAGATTCAATGCTAAAGATTTTATGCTAAATCAACTAACTGAATTTCATTACAAGAAGGAAAGTAAGAGCCCACTAATTGCTCACTTAAAACCAATAGGCAATCCTTATCAATAGGGAATCCTTAAATGATCAAACATTAGATAGCTAGGGACCTTATTTTGGTTATTAACTTGTTATAATTTTGTTTTCTTTCTGTGCATATTGAAAGGTTGAACAATCCAAGCTTTCTTGGCCACTTCCTTTTTTATATTTACCAGTCCATACTTTTTCCTATAAACTCATGAAATAAATCTGTGAAACACCTCCAGATTTGCATTTTCAGAGGAGGAGAACTATAGTCTGAAGAAAATTGCCAAAATTGAAGATCCAGCGGATTATTCACGGCTTGGACTGCTGGTAAGCCATTATGAATCAGTAGTAAGCCATTATGAATCAGTTTTTTCATGATTCTTTTTGGCAGAATTCATCGCTAGTAATTACAAACCTGTTATTATGAAAATTAACAGCCCAAAAGAGCAGATATAGACATGAATCAACATGTAAGCTTCGTCACCTATTTTGACTGGGTCCTTGAGGTAACTCAACTCACTAAACCCTGATTACTCATCGAGTAAAGTGCCAAAATGTTTTCCTTGACTATTTAAATTGAGTCATTTTAATCCCACAATCAATAAAAGTGTGAAATCAGTCGCTTGATTTTATTTTAATGTGGGTATATTAAAAAAATGGGGCCAATTCCTATGTATTTACATATCTACCACCTAAACTTCAATTTTTATATCTATAGAAGTGTGAAATTAGTCACTTAATTTTTTTTTGTGGGGGTTAAATTAGCCTTCCCTTTAAAGAGTTTGGAGACTATCTCAACCCATTTTCAATAAGGGGAATTTTTATACGCAGCACCCAAACTTTATGTATTTACCTATCACGCACGTATGCTTCATTTTTTACGGACGCAGTACCTAACTTGTCCTTTTCTCACAGCGGAAACAGTGAAATACACCTTTTCATGTACAAGTAAGGTGCTTTATCCATAAAAATTGAAGTTTTGGTGCATAATAAGTGAATACATAAGGTTTTGGGTGCTGCGCATGTAAATATTGCATTAAATAAAAGGGGCATTTACATAAGAATTGAGTGGTATGTACGTAAATCTTCTATTAAAAAATAGGGCATTTGCCTACATATCACTCAATTACTATTTATTTACATTTTTAACTCCTAAACTTTACTTTTTACGTTTATACCATCTAAATGTTTCATATCACTTAAAATAGACCACTCTCTTGACTTTTAAAAAGTGAAATATTCCTCTCCATGCATAAATAAGTAGCATATACGTAGAAAAATATGATGTTTAGGTGTAAGATATGTAAATACATAGGAACTGAGTGGTATGCTTGCAAATCTTAGTAAAAAAAATTTGGGGACTAAAATTGATATGTTTATAGACTCTTAAAATTAAAACGATCACGGGACTGTTTTGACACTTTTCTCTTTACTCATCTTCATCTTTCTTGTAAAGTTGTTCTTATCATTTTACAATATATGCTCCCAGAGCATGCCCCAAGAAATTATCAACACACACGAACTCCAAACCATCACCTTGGATTTCCGACGCGAATGCCAGCACGGCGTCATGGTCGACTCACTTACCAGCTTAGACTCAGAAGAAATCCTACTTTCAAAGAACACCAATGACCACACCTCCAACCAGCAACACAACCATGGGAGTGGTTATCTTAATTTTCTGCACTTCTTGAGATTTTCAGAGACCGGCCTGGAAATAAACAGAGCGCGAACTATCTGGAGGAAACTCATCCGGTAATATAATTTGTCAATTGTTCTATTCTGCAATTTATTATGTTGCTTTTGTCCTCTTTAATTTCTACAAACAAGTCTGGCAATGTCAGTCTTATGTTTGGAATTCTGCTTGTTGCTTATCCTTTTTATGGATATTTGATTTTGGTGGCCATTTATGTAATAAGATTTGAGATTTGAGAAATAAATGTGATTAATTGTTGTATTAAGTGCAGTGGAAATTAGTGTGATAAAGGATTTGTGTTAATAAGATTAATGTTGAAGAATGATGAGAGTTTGTCAAATATAAAAACTTTGAAAGAAATTTAGAAGATTTAGATTTGTTAGAAATGTAAAAAAGTAAAGTTTAGATGTTTAGACTTTAGATATGTACATACATATGAAGTGGGTGGTATGCATGTAAATGCCCAAAGAAAAGAAGATTTAAATGCATGCCACTCAATACCCTAAGTACTTACATTTCTAACACATGATCTTCAATTTTTACATCTATATACATGCCACTTTACAAATGCATGAAAAAGGTATGTTTGTAAAAATTATGTTAGTGGTGTTTTTGATGTGATATAATGATTTGGTTGGTAGAAATGTAAAAAAAAAAGCAAAGTTTAGGGGCTAGATATGTCAATACATACGAATTAAGTGTATGTAAATGCCCCTAAAAGAAAAAAATGGTGTTGGTTAATATGCATAATTTGAATTTTTATGAGTGATCTTGCATATAACTGAATTAACACATTATATTGCATGAGTAAATTGGAGAGGATTTAGACTAGTTACGGCAAATATTTCCATCTCTTTGTTACATTTTTTCATCTTTTATTGTACAAGCCCAAGGAATGTAAATATTTTTATACCTTATTTCCATTTGATATTGAATAACTTTTCTTTGGGGCATTTACATGCATACCACCCAAATTCTATTTATTTGCATAAAAAGCAACTGAAATTTTCTTTTTTGTGTTCGTACAACTCAGATTTCTATATCACATAAAAAAAATAGCAGTAGTTTTAAAAAGTGAAATACACATGTATGTATAAAAATGGACGTTTAGGTATTAGATTTATAAATATGAACTGGATGGTATGTATGTAAATCTTGGTTCTTTCACAGCTGTTTTTCGCATTTTCATTCTTATTATATTTAATTTGGTTTTTAATATCATCTTTATAGTTGAAATTTTAGGTTCATGTAACATAGCTGACTCAAATTTTAATTAGCTTTTTAGAAATCATTCATGCTAATAAAAAATTCCAATTTTAAAAATCAGTATTTAAATAAATATTAATCATTTATATACCACTTAAATAATTTATGCATATCTCTAACTTAGTGCACATAAGTCTAATTAGTTCAAAATGTTAATTTTTGTTTATCATAAAATCTTAATTTGTTCAAATTTAATGGGTCATTGGGGGTCATACCATTTGTGTGATACTAATTCTACAGCTTCGATTTTATCTCAAAGTCTTAATTAGAGTAAGACTTTCACCTTTTTACTTGTTGATTTTGAAAAAAAAAATGTCTTAGAATAAGGTTTTTTTTTTAATAATTTGAAATATAGATTTGATCAATTTACATAATTATATAAACAATTTTTAAATAATTTTGCAAAAGTTTTATTTTGAAAAGGGTGATCTTATATATGATCTAAATATGTTCATTTATTTATTTAAAATTGCTAATGTATCTTGTTTTTAGATTATTAGGATCTCTTAATCAATCACATGTGATTAGATTATGACATGTTAATTATTGTCTTAAAATGAGCAAACATTGATGATGATATATATCAATTGAAACAATAATTCAATCCTAAGTCTAAGAACTTGTTAAGTCTAAGAACTTGATCCAGTAGCTAGTTAGGAGTATTGATTCAAATTAGATCTGCAAATGCATACTATTCAATCTAATGGTTAAATGATTAGACGAATTTCATCAAGCACTCAACTGTTTTCTAGTGTTTAGAAATGATCAAAACACTTAGAAAAGCAATTCTAATTGCCTCGACAAAATTTAAATATTTAGAGTGCAAGGGCATGAATATTGCTTAAACAAATATGATTTGCTTATGCAAAGAAACACCTAGTGGGTTTGATCCATTAAAAGGGTACAATTCACCCAAGGGATTTTGCTCACTAGAGTAAAGAGAATGTCCAAATAGAATTGGCTCATTTGAGATATAAAATATTCTTTTCGAGTGAATTTATTTACTCGAGTAGAGAAAAAATGTTCAAGCACATTTGATCCACTTAGATATGAGGATTGTAATAAGATTTTTTGTTCTTGAAACACTTAAGAAATATGTCCATTAAGATTTGCCTTCTTGGATGGATAGTTTGTGAAATCTATTTTGGTATAAATTTAATAATATTGAAAGTTTACTCGAGAGAACACCCTTCCCAATTGAAGTTGGCTTTTAAGAACATCTCGACCTCTATTTTGACTTTTGCTTTATTCTCATTTGAGAACAATATTTTATTCTACTTGATGGTTTGTTTGTTGCAATGATGTCGGACATTGTGATTAGTGATGGTTAGATCTTCCCCAACATCTCAAAGAATTCCCATGTAAAGTCATATATTTGTTGTTTATTAAGAATTAAATGATTTGGGAATTAAGGTTGCCTTAATTATCCCTTCATCAATGGTAAGAATTTTGACAAACTCCTCTTTCTTCTTTTCAATAATGGTACTTGTTAACATTACTTTTGATATAACTTATTTGGTAACCAAATTTATCTGATGTGTACTAATCATAGTATTAAATGCATCTAGTTGATCTACATATGATCTCACTATTCATATAAATGACTTGTTTCTCTTGTTTAGGTATCAAATACACTTAATCAAGATTGACCAAAATTTAATTAATTTTTTTTAACTCTTGTAAAATAATTATATGTTATGGATTGATAAAAATACTGTAAATTTTATATTTTAATTGGCATTTTGGACACTTTGTTAAACCCCATATTGAACACCTACTTTAACTAAGCCTAACTTGATCTAATTTTTTAATCAGACCTAAGCCTACTATGTATGCCTTGTGTTAATTTAAGCATTTGATTCAGATGACCTACAACTAATAAAAGTTGATTGACCAAGTCCAAAGATACTTTTAAGACTTGCTTATCAGTCTAAAATCAATCAATTCCAAGGTTAAGTCAAGCTCAGCCTAAACTAACTTGGGCTATGCAAGCCTCCTTAGCCTAGTGGTTGAAAGATTTGTCTTTCAACCTAAACTAACTTAAGAGCTTCAATTTAGTCCTAAAATTACATGAATGAAATTTTAACTCCAATTGGTATGCTAATTAGGACTAAATTGAACTCTTAAGTTATTTTGTTTGAAGATAAAAAAGTATCTAATTGGAGTTAAGCTTTAATTCACGTAATTTATATTTAATTAATATAAAATATAACATAAACATAAATCATCAATGTTTAATTGATTTAGATTATTTAGAGTTTGATAGATATTAATTAGATTTTAATTTTAACCAAATATATATTCATTTTTGTAAAGCATTAAATATTTGAAAAGATATCAATTAATAACAAAATTTAAAAATTTTTGTTTGATTTAAAACTTCATAGAAAATGATATATTTCAAAAATAAACAAAAAATCTTGAACATGTAAATGCTTTTATATA